ATAGCCACCATCGGCCCATGCCACAGCACACTTGAAGTCTCTGCCACGATATATGTGAAAAAATAATGTATACATGGTGATATGGGTACTATAGTAATTATCAGTAGCTACCTACGTGGGAAAGAGGTTTGCACAGTTCCCAGTACGGCCAAGGGCTATCAGTGTAAAGTATTCCAGGCCAATCAATGTGCAACAATGTGTGTGACACTGCCATCAGATTTGGTTACAATGATCGGGTGAACATGTCACACTTCGCCTAGAGCTGAAGGGGTTCTCATCTCTCATGGTTCCCGGTTTAATAACACCAGCAATTTCCCCAGCCAGGGGAAGCCAGAGACCTGTGCCAGGAGAAACCCCCAGCTGTTTTTTCAGATATAATGATTATATAAATATATATAAATATATTGCTCGGTGATTACCTGTCATTATTCACAAGTAACGGGGTCTATGGGCCTGTCATTATCTGTTAGACACGGAGAAGATCTGCTAGAGTATGTGCGTGGCTGTAAACTCGATCGTCTCAGAGCTTGTGAAGTCAATTGATGGAGACCTCCGTTGGATGCAGAGTACGCCACCCGTCTCCCCTTGGGCATCAGCACACTGTAGAGCTGCCATTGTAACGTCATGGAGCACATGCCCATTGTGTACCGCAGGCGGTGCTTCGATTGCCAGAGTGAGCAGTTCTATGGCTGCACGGGTCGTCGCTTGCAGGCCCGCGTCGGTGAACGTGTCCTCTGTCACGCGTGCGTCCGGGAACCCAGGCATCAGCGCGAGCGACTTCGCCGTCATTCTGTGGCCGTGGCGTTGCAGCTCGTGTACGGCTGATCTGAGCGCCGGTACGAGAGCTTCAAATGCCATATCGACTTGCGCGTGATCCAGCTGTCCGCGAAGGGCATCGCACACGCCTACTAGAACCTCGTGTTCAGGCGGCGGGGGCATGTCGCAGAATGCGTGCATCTCCTGGAGTGCGGGTGCGGAGAGGCCTGCCAAAAAGGTGACGGTATCGCTCGATATGACACCGGCGATGTGGACCTTGCTTAGCAGCGGCAAGCTCACGGGCTCCTGTAACTCGCTCGGCCATGGGAATGCAGGCGGTACCTCAAGACTCCATGGCAGGTGCAAGCGCACACTGAGTACAGTGATGTTGCGGTTATGGCTGAGGATCCGAACAACGTCCGTGGAGTGAACGTTAAACATCTTGAGAATGCTCAGCGTATGCGAGCTAACCCAGATAGGACCGGATACGTCCAGAACCTCGAGAGCGTCACAGGGCCGTACATCCTCCGTGGCGTCGAGTGCGGCTGCCATAGCGTCGCCACCTGAAATGCGCAAGAACTTCAAACGGCGAGTATCTGTCATGCGAGCAAGCGACGTCAGGTTTATCCTCCCTCCCTTGGCTTATTGATGAACAGCCACGAGAGGGTAACCTTCTTAAGATTGAGAAGAATGGAGGTGATCTGCTCGAGCGTATGATAAAGCAGTCCGAGATACTGAAGAAGAGGTGCGTTGACAATGATGGGGGATGTCGACACGTAGATCCGGAGCGACAGCATGTCGAGGGGGCCGTATATGCGCAGAGCGGTCTGCGGCATCCTTCTGGCGTTCGGCCGTAGGTAAAGTACCTCCACAGCACTTAAGTTCTTGTTGCTCAGGATACGCCCGAAATGGCGCCACTCGCAGTCCCTCCCTGCGTAGATTGCACTCGCGCGCTCGATCTCCGCGTCAACGAGCTCACGCGGAACACCCCACCGATATACCAGGCGCACTTTCGCGTCGCCAGCGCGGCCCATCGCTATGTGCCAGCCGTCTTCGTCCTGCACGGCCGAAACAAGGGGGCCCCAGACTACAGCTGACATGGACGCAGTTGTGTCATGCCAGAGACTGCATGTGCTCATGATACTCGTCAGAGTAGCCACAGCCTCAGCTCCGCGACCGCCTGGTTGAAAGAATGCCTGCAGAGGCAGCTCGCTGGGACGGGGAACTATCTCGGAAAGCACGTATGTAAAGATATCCAGACTGGTTGCGGGAAGACGGTTAGCCGAGCCGTCGAGTCGTCCGTCCTCAGCAATGTCAGATTGTACTGAGCGCAATCGTCAGTGAGATTTCCATCTACCGCCATGCAGCAAACACTGACTATCTGCAACGTTCTCCACCTGCGTAGGAGTATCCGGTGGCGCCCAATCACTAGCACCGGCAGGGAAAGATACTGAACCACCGCGAAAACCTCGCCTGTACCAAGGAGCTGGCAGAGACGCTTTCCAGCCGAAGTCGTAGTCTTCTTCAGCATATGGTGTACGTCCACGGCCATGAATAAAAGGTGTTGGCCCCCAGACTGCCCGCTCGTTGCTTGAATCTTCAGAGTCAGACTCCCAGAACGTCGGGCTGATAAGATCTTGTGAAATCGACCTCATCAAATGCTGCAGATGCCCTTACCCTCCCTCCACTCCACCATCGGACTCCTCATCGACAGGAGGCTCGAACGCGAGTGGCGGTACATCCGCCTCAGAAGGCGCACTGTCATCATCAGCGACGGCCACATCGTCGATGAATCTACAGAAGGTAATCAAGATCGGCCCAGGACTCGGCCATATATTACACTGTACGGACTCGTCAAGTGCTGCGTCTGGACCCTGTTGTTGTACGTCGGCCATCTCTTTCGGTTGTAAGTTAGCAACAGATGATAGTTGGACGAAACGGACCGCGGAACGGGTGCGACGTCGAGGCGTCCGATGCGGGTGCCTCTCGCGGTGCCGAACCTCTGATGCGGAGTGCCGCCCGCGACGTTCTGCGACGGCGGCGCCGAATCGTCTGAGATGCACAAGTTACACATCCCCCTCTGCCGGGCGGCCAACGGGCTACCAGTATATGGGACCTATGATTTCATTGCAATATGTCATACGTACAAACTACTCGTACAACAGTCTTGGTTTATACGACGAGAGACGGCCGTACGTAGCCATGGCCTCGGACGTAGTCCGATACGATACTTAGGCACCCGCGCTCCTAGCTCCGATGCACATGCGCTGAATGAGCGACGAGCGCAGCAAAGTACTAGCAATCAGGAACCCCGCCAAACGGGCGGGTCGGACAATCCGCGTCAGAGCTTGTGCTGTTGGTGTATCTCATGGTCGTGGTACAGGTTCAAGACGTTCTTCTGCTGTGCGCCCGATTCCCAGCGCTTAGGGTACTACCTAACATCCCACGCGACTCTGACTCTCACCGTCATGACGCGTTCGAGGGTTACGAGTACGCTCTGTCCTTCAAACTTCGCGGAAGTAGATTCTGGGCCATGATATTTCCATGCAGCGTCTTCCATGATCGCGTTTGCGTCGCCCGTACATATATGACCCGCCCAACGACCCTCTTGCGCTGCACGAGCCGCCCCGGTCCACATGGCCACCAATGTCTTCGAGCGTGCACCGCCCGAGTTCAGCCGCGTATTGCAAGGCCTCCCAGCGCCCTCGGTTTATGGCGGTCTCCCGGACCAGGTAGAGAACTACAGGCTCTTCGCCGTGCGTCCCCCACACTCATTTTGTTTATTTTTACTCAATTGATTCACTAGATGGCCAATTACATCTACGCCGCTGTAGACCAAAGATCGTCGGAATGGACCGACTACACGAGCGCGTCGACTCCATATCTGCCTGCCACACCGTCCTCGCACTCTCTGTCTGGCGATGACGCCCATTTGCCGACTTACATTCTTGAGCGCAGAGGAGCTGAGTCAGCTGCGCGCGTCGCTGAAGCGATTCGGTCAGCGCTGCCGCGCGTGGCAGACATATGCGCGCGCCCGTCGGAGAGTTTGCCGGAGATGGGCGTCTGGGCGTGTCCGCAATGTGACATGCCCATTGACCCGCGAGATCTCACCGTGGATCAAAGAGTACTCATCGCTGACCACCTGGGCGTCGGCGACGATTCTGGAGTGCTGGAGAATAACGACGGTCGCGTTCAGCTCGACCCCGCCAATCCATGGTTATTCATGCGCTGCGTCGACTGCCTGGGCTGGGCCCATTTGGCGACGCACCTGCGTGCAGAGTGTCTCATCCTTTGGTACCCTAGTCCCGTCTCCGCATACAGGGTACGCAGTCCCCATTTGATCAGGTTACTGACTTCTGCTGACTTGCCCGAGAGTAGTCTGCGCCGGGAGTTTGGTGGGACGAGGAGCGACTATCTCGGCGTCAAGTTTACAAACCTCTGCGCCTGGAAAACGAGGCTCTCGAGCGAACGGAGAGGTATCAACTACGCATGTGGAAAGCCAAGAAAATGGTCTCGTTGGCTAAACGGGGCGTGCATGCTGCTCGCTTTCATCTTACACGCTGGCAGCGTGAAGCCGCACAAGCTCGTAAAAACATGGTAAAGCAAATGTTCACCGCCGGCCGCGGGATCGTCGATACTGGGTTGGCTCTTGTTGCGCTGATGGATACGGAATGCGCCGACCCGGAACGTCAGCGGTGGCAAGCTCAGCGTGATGAACACCGCGCTCTCCAGCTGGAATGGGAGACTCGCAAGGACGAATGGGCTCGTATGTACCTAGGGGATTGAATTTGTCATACGCATGTAGACTGTGAAGCGTTGAATCCATACAATATTGCCTGCATTATTTCACGTTTCGTCACGTTAGCATCGGCTGCACCGGCCGATCCTCTGCCGCGTCGGGCTCCGAGATACGTCTGGCATTGGGCGCCGCGTCGAGTTTTTTCTTGGTCGTCGACGTCGATGACTGACTCCGACATTGACATGGAGTATGCTCACGAACAGCCAGCACTGGCCCTGGATGACGATCACACATGGGCAAAAGTGGTAAGTAGTGCTGTTGTTCCGTCGTGGTGTGTTAACTGAGTCGATGGACCTGCCAGGCTGATCTCGCGCTTCGACACTTGGCGCGCGTAGGCAAACCGCCTACTCATCCGGACGACGCCTCGCTCGAGGATCGCTTCGTGGAGCGTACTGAAGCTCCGCGCGGTGATTCTCTACAGCTGGTCAATCACGATGCGCACATACCGCCGTCAGTACGCGTACCGCAAACTTGGTCGTTAATCATCACCGATATGCGCCGGGTGTGCACGCACTTCGCTCGGCGTCTGTCTGACTTCTACGTTGCCGGAACTAATGAATGGGTTTGCCCCATGCATGACTGCATGTACGCAATCGCGATAAATAACCTCTCGGTGGATGAAAAGAAGGTCGTGGACGGCGTGACGCGCGGCGCGGATGTACCATTCTACACGCTCGTCGACGCGTTCCGTGTCACTGAGCCCGCTTTCATCCGCGAGGTGATTGACATCGTGGCGCTGGAACATTACGAGTCCGTACACCTGCAAGGTCTGCGTATCCACCATGTCATTCACGGACAAGATCACACGGGACGCGTGCGCATTCCCTTCTCTTCGAGCATGATTTCGGATTCTGATGATGCGTAGATCATGTACTACTGGCAGCTAAACCGCATCAGCGCTGAGTTCCTGAAGAAGACCGTGCGTGGCTGGGAGGCCAGACGCTTCGAAGAGATCCGGCGGACGGAAGTCCAGCGGGCGCTCGCCTCTGAAGCTCGTCAGTGGGCTGAAGGTCTGATTCGCGATGCCAAGCAAGGTGACAAGGACGCTCGGCTGGCGGCTCGCATTGAATACGGTGATTATTCGCGCGAGGGATATGCGCACGCACTCTGCCTGGAACGGCGTGACGGATTGTTCGATGCGCGCGTGTCTGCATTCGAAGGACCCGCAGGTGGTGGTCTGGAACGCCGCGCCATCAGGGCCATGAGGGGCGTTCACAGTCTCAGCTTCGAGCGCCGCTTCGGGAAGGTGGCAGCTGCCGCGGAGAGAGATGGTATGCGCGTGAGAGCCCGCGCGGAGCTCGCTCATTGGGAGAACGGTGAGGGCGCCCGTCGGTTGGTTAGGAGGGAGAACTTGTATCAACTGTACCTATAGCCACCTGTAGTCGTACAGATGTCGCCTGGGGCAGTGTCGTAGAGTTCGTGGCTGTTCGTGGGCGCTCATCTTTGCACGGCGAAGTCGACCTGGCGGCTATATATTACGCTGGACTTCGCGCTCTTGCTCAATCACCACGACCTCCACGACCATAACAGCGACGAGGGCTTGACCACATTGATCATCTATGACCTGGTGCGGCATGGCATGGCATGTCACGGAGAGCGAATGTTGGAGCGTGCGTATAGTGCGTGCGTATAGTGATCCCGCCGCGGAATAATGGCGCGATGTCATGGCCGCGAAACAGTACCGTCCAAAAGAGGACGATGTTGGACCGTGGCCTATCCAATGCATTCGCGGTCGTGCATGAACGACGAGTGTATTGTCCGGTGTTTAACGATACCGCTGCCCGGTTAGGGCTCGGCCGACAGTCGGCACTCCTAACGAGAATTGATCTGACACCTGTCTCGCAACAGCCACCATCTGCCCTCCCCCAACTTCAACCTGGCAGCTATCTCGCGTTATCTACGTCAGTCGTGGCGCGGCGTCCCTCTGAGCTCGCGCGGGATGTTGCAGCAGTCAAGTGGCGGGCGTAAGCCGCTCACTATTCCTTCTACTAAATGGCGCGCACCGGCAGGCCAAAGGGGTTATCTCGAGGACCGGATTTCCCAGAGAACAGTCACTCGGGACATAATAACGGATGCCGCAGGACGTACAACCTCGCGCAATGGCACGATTCACGTTCCTCAAACCAGTCTAGGCATCCTCGAACGCGTAGCGCAGGCCAAGATTGCGGAAGCGCCACCTTTGCCGCTGAACGAAGCCCTTGCTGGGGATAGTCAACCGGAGGCGGAGGCGGCCTCTGTACTTCAACCGACGATATCGCGTCCGCAGAAGGTAGAAGTGTGCCCTCCACTACGTCGCCAACGAGTACTAACGTTCTCGCGTCACAGAATCACCCTTTATTACACTGGATTCCGGAGCGCATGGCGTACCTCTGGGCGTTGCTGAGGCTCAACGGGCGCCCGGCACAAGTGCTATCGGGAGAGGTACGGGGTTGCGCAAACAAGGCATGTCTTCGGAGCGGCGACACAGCGTGTATCCTTTACCGTTGTGTTTCGGGTTGTATGTCGTGTACCTGGATATGCAAGACGTGCATGGTGTCAAGACACAAAGATCGGCCGCTCGACCGGGTACAGGTAATGTGCCTACGCCGCCGAGCGCAGGTTTCGCCATAGTGATAAACAACGACAGGTCTGGTTGTACGGCGAATGGATCCCCGTGTCGTTGAGGCAGCTCGGTCTTACGGTACAACTGGGTCATTGGGCTGGCGATCGGTGTAGCCTGCAGCGACACGTCAACGACCGGTTTGTTGTGGTACACACCAACGGCATTCATCAAGTACGCGTCGCGTTCTGCGGGTGCTCGAGGACCAAGGTGGCTAGGCGCGATCAGGTATTGGCAGCTCGCTGGTTCCCCGCCACGATCGCAAAGCCAAAAACCGCCGCGACGCTGGAAGTTCTTGAGCAGTTCGACGCTCACAGCGCCGCAGGCAAAGATAACGCGTATGACTTTTACAACACACTGGAACATATCACCGACGGCGCAGGCATATTTCATCTTCCCGTCAGTCGGATTTCTTATACTCCGTGTCGCGTGTTCTCTGATAATTTCGCTAGGATCGCTCAAAAGACTTCCTTCGTATGGCGCACAAACATCGACATCTCTTAGCGCTGAAGCGTGGTGGTCGCGGTCACGATCCGCTGGGCGGTATCGAGCGCACTCAGTACGGCGAACTAGCCGTATTATGTCCGGCCTGTCCGCACAAGGGCATCAATACGGAGGGCGTTGTTGATCTATTGCGGCGGCTTGGCCCTGAGTTGGCGGAGGGGCACGAGTGAGTCGCTTGACGTCATACCCACCAACTTTCGCTAAGGCCCCTTCAGAACTTTCAACGATACAGTACATCTCGCGATGGACTGTAACTTCCGAGCAAAGAATCGCATGACTCGGTCCACACCGGAAACAAGTCCTTACCTCGGCGACGGCATGGCTTATATGGTCCCAGAAGCTGCTTACGATCATTTTACAAGCAACAGTGCGCACGACGCCGAGGTACGTATAAGCAGCGCATAAATGCACAGCCAATACTGATCCGCTCTCACCAGATGAGCAGTTGTTCGCGCTTTGGTGCGACCATCCTCGCCAATCTCAAGAACGGCAAGGGCCTGAGGACCACGGGGATTGGCGCCGTCTTCTGCGCGCGCCACGAGTTTTTCTGCGCAAATTCAATAGGTACTCTGATTAAAGGAGAGAGGTGAGTACCTTACGAGGATCTCTTCCGCACCATAATCACAACTAATACGTGCTCTCCGCACAGATATTGCACAATGGACTTCATCTTGGCCGCTGCGCTCCGCCGCGTACGCGCCAGCAGTCTGCGCTTGTACTACGACATCGTGTGTCAATACACGCGCAACCTCAATCTTCGGATGTTAGAGGTCGAGCCGAAGTTGTTCATCTACGCTGGCGCCCAGAAGCTATTGCACAAGCTCCACGTCACGTTCGGTATTCCGAAGTTTCACAATCCGGGGCACCTGGTCATGTGCCAATTATACTTCAACCTGTCTTTCATCAAAGGAACTGGTAATACCGACGGCGAGGCTTCCGAACGTGCGTGGGCTGGGCTCAATCCTGCTGCGTCGAGTTTGCGGGAAATGGGCCCAGGAACGATGCGAGACACGATCGATTTCTTTTGTAGTGCGTGGAACTGGCGCAAATTCGTCAATATGAGTACGTTATTATCCCTCTCATGTGCGAGGAACCCTGGCTCATGCCATTCAGGTGCGTCTCTATGTCGCAACATGGAGATTGCGCTGGCCGCGGCTATGGAGCACTGCGAGATGTACAGCGGTCTTCTGGGCGCAGTGCGCGCCGAAAACCCCGGAACCGCGAGTGAATGGACACAACAGGGCGTGGACTATGAAGGGCGGCAGGAGCTGGACGACATGGGACGGCCAATCACGTCGGGTGGCGTAACCAACCCTTACGAATCCCGGTCTCAAAGTTCGCAATCACCACTCAGTGGCTCAGACGTCGACTGACGTATTCCCTAGAGCAATCGTTGGAGAAGGCGCGTCTGCAGAGCGCTTCTATTGCCGCGGCGGCACAGCAAGGCGCAAAGGCCTCTGAGACTGAGAAGACCGCCGCCGACAAGAACAACGCCCTAACCAACTTTATAGTGTTGGCATTCAAGATTGAGGTCTGGCAGTACGTGCTATCATTAATTCTGACGTGTGCACGCTGTACTCATTCGCTTACCTAGACGTCGAGCCACTATCGCCACGGAAGGTCGCACGTACATTCAAAAGCGCGAGCGTCTCGAGCAGGCGACGGAGCTGGAGCGTCAAATCCGGTTGTTCCGGAAGGAGCAGCAGTGGATCATGCCAGCGATCCATGCTGCCGTTCAGGAACTGGAGGGCATGGATTCAACATGCGGGACAACGGCCGACTACGAGAGCGATGAAGACGGCGAGGAGGGTGAGGCGACGACGAAGCGGCGGCCCGCTATGCTGTACCTGCCTTCGGACCTGGATCAGCCTTTGGCGCGTACCATGCTCGACGTTCTGCTTCAGGAGATGAAGCTTCGTTTCGCAGCGATGGAGGACTGGTTGGACATTTTACGGCAACAACTGCGCGTACGTGGGACCGTTCGCCAGTGGAAGGTCGTGTTCTCCTCTGGACAGCGCATGGCTACGCGTACGATCAACAAGCAGCGCGTCATTCAAGAGAATATCGACCAAGCTAGAAACATGTATCGCTGGCACCGCGAGCGATACGCCACGCTTGTGTCGTTTCTGTCAGACGAAGAGCGGGAACAGTATGTGTTCGCAGAATGGGAAGATCTTTTCGAGGAACTTGCGGATGAAGACTGCCGCCCGCTCAACAACAGCCTCTTGATTGCCATCAACGCGCGGAGGTCCAGCACGTGAAGGCATTGGTTGCGGCTAGGAAGGACGGTAGCGCTACAGGCCAGAATAGGTATCGTATACCGTGGATCTGGTATAAGGTGGCTGAGGGGACGGAGCTCGAACTGAACGATGGTACGCTCGCCATATACAATGTTCGAACGCGCTTCTGACCATCGGGCAGACTTACGAGTGGAGTTCATGAAATGCAGGGCGCGCGCAATGCGTTGGGTCGAGGAAGTCTACCAACTGGCGTATGAGATGGTTCGCGTACCTATCTTCTGCACGTCGCGATCAACTTGGTGGCAGGATAGGGCCGGATGCCCGCGGCCGGAGCTGGACGCGGTCACACGCGATGGCGTCCGTGCATACGCAAAGGGTCAGGCGTCGATGTTCCGCAGGCATGCGCGCGGGTTCGAAGAGCGGTTTGCCGAGCCGTTGAAGAAGGCAGCTGAATTCGCGCGTCTACACGGTTTGGACGGGCTCATTAGGACGGTCGTGCGCGAGTCAAGTAGGGTTTCGCTTTCATATTTACGCTACACTTCAAATCGCGACATATATGATTAACAATACGTCAAATTTACGGTATCGAATCATGTAGTACAGATGCAGCTAGTAGTCTAGGACGCGCCATCCTCGTCCTCAATCTCAATTATCCGACCGGGAAGCGTTGCTAGGATCGAGTGAGTTAGAGAACAGTGAAAGCGTAGTAGAGAACGTACCAGCTTCGGGAAAGGCGTGTTCGTAAAGAGCAGTAATGGATTTATGGCACTTTCGAACCGAGTGGCGGGAGACAACAAGTACCAAAATGCGGCGCAGTATAGCTAGGGTGCTGACCCGAAATGTTGCCCACATCTCGAAGCCGACGGAGCCGAACGTAAGGATGTCAAGTTCGTCGCTTTGCTTGATCTCGACGTCAAGCAGTGCATCGACATGTTTGCGCATCTTGAAGCTATCAGGCGATGCACCACCGGTAATGTCGAATGTGGTAGGCTTTGTTTTATCCTACGGAAGACGGTGAGATCAGGGCGAGGACAGAGCAGACAGGAAGCACACGGCAAAGAAGTAATGAACAGTAAGGGTCGTGTTCATCGGAGGGGCCGGAACATACCCCGTAATCTCTACGCTGGGAGAGCGGGGAGGGGTAGAAGAAGGGGGAGGGGGAGATGGACTGGTCAAATCGAGGACGGCGGGCTCGGGAGCGCCGGCTTCCATCGGCGGCGGGACAGGCAGGAGCTGCAATGTGCGTGAGCAAGGGGAGTACAACGCGAGGGTAAAGGCAATAATACGTACTGGTATGGTGATGCTGAACTTGATACCAGCCGGCGGGGATGCAAGAGTGATACCTACTTCCCTTGCGCGATCCCGAATGGTGCGGCGTGCGTGGGACGTGAGCGGCTTGGAGATATATTTCCAAGTCTTGCGCGGGCGGCCGGATGCGTTGTAGTGAATTTCCTTGCACTGGGGAAAATCCGTGAGTACGTTGAGACGACACTGAAGCATGAGAACGTACGAATATGTACTGTCTGCCCAGATTGAAGCTGTCTTTCTTGTACTCGAGGTAAGGGCCGTAAAGATCGTGGCGAAGTGAGGCACAGCTATCTGCGCATGCATCGTACTGGTCCTGAGAAAACGGGTGGGCCCGTTCAAGCACGAACGCGCGGAACTGCTCTTGAATTGCTGGCTTCGTGGTCATGGTTGAGCGACACGACGGTGAAAGACGGTTGCGCCTTTAAGAGCATCGCGACCCGCCGTCGCTGCCGTCGCCGCCGAAAGATCGCCGACAGATAGGAACAAAGCTAATAGGACGTCTAGTTAGTTCGCACCTGGCGTCGGGCGTCACTTCGGGTTCCTTCTAGCGAGCCTGGGGCTGCGGTAAGGGGAACTACATTGTGATTGAATGATAGGCAACTGGTACTCATATAGAACATGGATATAGGAAGAGGTTTAATGGGATACGATAGAGACGCTGTTGGGAGCAGGAACGAGGGCACAGAATGTTTGCTTCCGATGCCGAGACGGAGCGGGACAGGGCGTGAGCGTATGGTTGAGCGTATGGTTGGGCTAACTCATAGCTTTACCAGATTAAGAGGGTGAACTGAGCGAGAGACGAGATGTGGCAAGCGAGGCAAGCGAAGAGACTGTAGTTGTTGCAGTGGCGCCGCGTTTTTGAGCGCATAGGTGGCGGTTGAATTCAAAGTGCGGGGCGGTCAAGACGGATCAGACATGCGATAGCGCGGTGCGCGGGTCGGGACGGAAAGACCGCGCTGCTTGAATTACGACCGCCATGTCCTCGCCCTCGCCCTCGCCCTCGCCCACCTCAACTTCCGCATCCTTGCCGCCGCCTTCGCCTAGGCGTCTGCTCAAGATCTTCTCGTGTGCATGTCTGGCTATCCGCGGCTGCGGAGAACTGTGTTTGTACTGTGGCTCGAGCACCCGCGGGTACGTTAACGGTTCACTCTTGACGATCATTATGTGAACGCAATAGCCGTGTGCGCAGGTGCCAGCGTCGAGGGTGGGAGGGATAGGGAGGAGGGGAGGGATAGGGAGGAGGGGAGGAAGGGTTGCGTGGCGGGCGAGCTC